TTAATTAGTCTTGAAAATTTAATATTTTATTTAGTAAAACATCTATTAAAATATATGTTAATAATTAAAAAATAAAATGAATCGGGACATGGTCAGAAATGCATTTCCTCTTCTTGGAGCGAAAACTCGACCCTACAAGAATTTTTGTCCTCATTTAATGTAGTGACGTGAAAATAAAAGTTTATAGAAATACAAAGAATTATTTTAAAGAGAAATTTTGGAGGAAGTAAATTTAGAGATAAAGAAAAAATTCAAAAAAATAAAAGTTAAGAGAAAAAATAGTGAGAAAATTTAAAGACAAAAATAAAAAGTTTTTAGAGAGAGAAAATGTAAGAGTAAAAGGCATGTCAGAGAAAGGAAAAAAAATGAAAAAAATACCAATTATAGTGAGAAAATGAATAAAAAGAGAGATAATTCAAAAAGATTCAAATGGATAAAAGTTGGAAATATATTTCATATAAAAATAGATTAGTAGAATGATAAAGAAAAGTCGTGAAATAAATTTTGAGAAGGTAGAAAGTTTTAAAAACTATTAATTTTTGGGAGAGAGAAAATGGGGGTGACATGTTAGAAAAAGAATAAATAAAAATATATAGAAACGAAAATTTTTAAAATAGAAAAAGTAATAGTAAATATTTTAGATATGGAAATTTGGAAAAAAAAAAATTAGAGTAAGAAATACGTTAAAAGAAAAAAAAAGTTCGAGCATTAAAAGGCAAAGATGTGATTTTGAAAAATAAAAATCTGTTTTTTAAAGAAATAGAAAATTAAATTTCTTACCAAATAAGTTTGTTTCCAAAAAATTAAAAGTTAAAAAGAAAAAAAAACCAAAAATTGAAATTGAAATAGTTATGCTCTTACGTTTTTATTCTTTATCGTAGTGGTCGTTATTAATGTTTTAAAAATAATATTTTACATAATCTTAATATAACCATATATATATATATTTTTTGTTATAATTTGATCAATACATTTCTACACAAGTAATTGGTTGAAGGCAGATGTAGCAGGTTATGTCGCATTCTTTAAACATGTTTAAATTAAACTTTTGTTAAATGATAATCGAAAATTTACAATAAAGGCCGAAGTAGTTTCTTGTGCAAAATTCATGGATTATTAAATAAACGTGGAAAAATAAAGGATTGGAATAGACTTTGAAATTAGTGTTAGGTTTATGATACATGATTTCAACAACATTATAGAAACTTTACCCTTGGAAAAAAATGTCATTGTTGAAACTAAAAAGAGAAAAAAAAGTGAGAAAATTAAAATTAATACGATGTTGTGATCCATATTATCTAAAGAAGAAATAGAATAGAGGTTATTTTTCAAAATTATACGAGTGAAATTATGTAGACCTTAATATTGATGATTTCGCATGTCATCAACGTAGATGTGGTTGAAAGTATAGTCGTACGTGAAAGTTTGATCCTAGCTGCTGAAGTTGGTTTTAACTCAATAGAGGTGGAAACTGACTCAATTAGAGTTCCCGCTATGCTACTTTGGTAAAATATTTATTATGCAGAGGTAGAGCTCATCATTTGAAAAATTCATCAATTGTCTCATCAATTTTCCTCAATTAAATCGTTACTTAAATGAGGAGGAAATCGTGTTGTCCATGTACGAACGAAAAATGGTGGTAAAAACAGAAATACAAGGAATTTATTTGAGGAGCATGAGCGTCCCAGCTGAAGTTAAAAAAAATGTAGTTTCATACCATTTAAGAATATTATTGTCAATCAATTGATATTTTATTTTTTGATTAGGCAGAGACAAGTAAATTTACCAGGCATGCAGTTATGATCTTTTTATAAATAAAAAAATATAAATAAGAAAATAGTATAATAGTTGTAATATATCTTATTCTTATTTTGATCATTGAGATTCTAATAACGTTATCCATTCACTTCAATTGATAATTTCGATTTATAGGGAGTAAATGACCCATATTATTTTTTTCAATCTTTTAACAAAATACTTTTTCAAATATTATGACGAGTTGGAATTTATATATGAATAAATTATTGAGGCAAAAAATTTTGAGAAAAGTTCAAAGTGACCCACCCACCAATATTTTATTGGCTTTACAAAAAGTTCAACTTTTTTTCTTTTGGGAAAAAAGAAAAAATTCAACTATTTAGTTGAATTTCAGAAAGATTATTGGAGCATGCGCCTGTCGTTGACGTCATCATTTTTTTCCCTCAATAAAGTACCTGAATTTTGTGCTTAAAAAAAAAAAAACTGAATTTCGAATGGCCTTACAAAATTGAAAAAACTTTTTTTTCCTCTCTCTTTGGGTGTGTGGCAATAAAAGCTTGTCAATTCACCTTAAGCTTGGAATTAAAAATTTTTCCACAATTAAAAATAAAATTTGAATTTCTAGCTAATTTAAAAAGTAACGACATATTTAAAAAACGGAAAAAGTGTTTGAAAAGATGATTATAGGATTTTAAACTAATTTTTAACTCATTTAAGCATATAAAAATAAAATTTTTATAAAATTCTACCTCTAAAGACATTTCACCGATTTATTTAATTTAAATTTTTTATTCACGTTATACGTGCATATGTATTTAAATAATGCATTTATACAAAAGGTTGATGATATGCAACTTTATTATTAGTTTTTTTTTTTGAGGAAATATTAGATTATCTTGTTATTTCTTAAAAATGAATTCTAATTATAAATTGTAAAGAGGAAACGTTTTTTTACTATCTCTGTTGATAAACGATATATATATATATATATATATATATTTATTTATTTATTTATTAGATATGGTATTTATTTCTCATTGAACCACTTCCATGGTCATATCTTTTCAATCATTTATTAATTTTTGGGATGTCATATAGTTAATTGTCTTTTAATTTTTAATCATCAATCCTTAATTTACGAAGCAACCAAAATATAACTAGTTGCTAAAAAAAACTAAAATATAACTAGTAATTGAAAATTTAAATAATTTACTTTGGTAATATAGTTTTATTTTATTTTAATGACAATGGATCACATAGGGCTTTGTGATTGACAGTATGGACTTAAATTAATTGCAGTATGGACTTAAATTAATGGCAAGCTAAAGTGCTAATTAATAAAAGTTTTTTTTATAAATAATTAATAAAAGTTGATAATTATTTCAAATTCGAGCCGTGCATGATTTTTTTTAGTTAAAGTATCGGAATTCGAACTTCAGATGATTGAGTTGTGTTCAAGTTAGACTATAACTAAAATATTGGTGGATAAAAAATTTACAATCTTGAAGTTGATTTGTGAAAGTAATCATATGAATATAAGGAATTTTTTTAAATAGTGGTAATTTATGAGTTTCAATTCTATTGAATATGAATGCACATATTTATCTAACCCTAGATATGTTTTATTGTTTAAAATTTATTACCATATTGGATAACCTAATATAATTTATGTCAAATTAAACGTAGCTTAGTGAGGTTGTGGGTTCGATCCCTCCTCTCTTGTACTAAAAAAACTAATATAATTTCATTATCAAATTTTAAAATATTGTAAGATAATTTTTTTTAAATATTATTGTAGTATAGCCTTTTAAATTTTAAATAATTTATATTCAATATAATACGAAGCAGAATAGATAGGTTTTTGGTCTATCTTAGTCAAATGAAGTATGCTCATGTTAGCTTTTATAAGATTTCTCGAGAAACTTCAAATTATAAGTTTTGTATAATTTGAAAAATATAATTTTTCATCAATGGAATTGCAAATTTATAGAAAATATACTTCTATATACATCCGGATTTTTTAAAAATAATTATATAAATTCGCATTTTTAAGAAAAATAATTATATATATCCACATGGCATGAAAAATATATCCACATTTTTTTTTTCAGAAAGCAAATAACTTGAATTTGATTGGTAGATATTGAAGAAGAAAAGCTTAAAAAACAGAAAAACTAATATAGGAAATAGGAAAAACGAAAAATGAAAGGAAAAAAGAGGCCCACCAGGCGACCCTAAAAATAAAAGGAAANGAAGCCATATGTGGTATTTACAGTTTTTGTCTTTTTGACGGGACCACAACAAAGTAATGAGATTTATTTATAATTTTAAACTACTTCAAAATTCAAATAATATAATTTCATTTTCTAATTTTAATTTATGAGTTTTTAGTATTGTATTTATTGTAGTCTTCAAATTTTAAATATAATTAATGAAATGTTAGTGTGACATATTAAACTATAGAGTTGGTTGGTTGTGAATTCGATCTCCCACCTCTGCATGTTGTACTAAAAAAAACTATTGAGTTGGTTTATCGTATTTTTCAACTCAATCAAATAATTCATTGAATATATTGCCAGAGTTAGTATAATTTAGCGGTAATTGATATATATCTTCAATCAAAAGGTTGTGAGTTCGATCCCTCACCTCCATATGCTGTACTAAAAAATTCAATAAATATATGCTATATGAGCATTATCGGACCCAGTCAAGGTAAAAGTTGAAAATATAAAAACAAAAACGAACGCATCTTTTGTTTTGTTGGATCTTGTGTAATTTTTTAAGTTGAAAAACAATGAGAAGTATTAGACATTTCATATAAATGATTAAATTCACCGTAATTCATTTAGCTTAAATTTTTTGGTTGACTGATCTTTTCTATCATGCAATCAAAGTCGAAAGTAGATTGAAAACATCTAAATAAATAGTATTTAATTTTTTTTAATAGTTTATGTTTAATTATTAATTTTGAATTGCACTACTAAACAAGTGTTCGATAAATTTATCCTCTCATCCATATCCGAAAGAAAAAACTTATATATATATATATATATATATTTTAAAATAATAATTCTGATCGTTAAACAAGTAAACAACGAACAAATACTGGATAAAAAAAAAAAAAAGAAAATAGCCGACGCCGACTTATTTATCTATTTTATTATTTATTTATTTTTCATGCGCTCTCTTTCCCTGCTTTTTCTCCGAAAAAGGAAAAATAAAACAGCGGCAAACGCGGTAAAAGTATTTCGGAAGTGGAAAATATAAAAGGCGGAGCTGCTCCGTTCGTATTCCGACTCAGCCCATCAGAATCCTGCCTGAGCACCACCTGGCGATCAACCAGCCACCGTTGAGACTCCGGTGACAGGTGCCTCGCCGGCGACACGCCACGCCTTCACGTTTCTTCCTAGTATCTCGCACCCATACGCCAATCAATCGAAGCCGTTGTGTTATTATTTACTTTCGTTTTTCAAAGCTCAATTTGATGCGAATCCCGAGAGGTTCGGTTCCATTTTACTGATCCCGTGGACTGAAATTCAATTCGGTTTCTCGAACGGCGTGTTGTTGGTGGAATCGGACAACAGTCCTCTGATGTTTTGGTTTCGGATTTGGATTTGGAGCTGTGGAGCTCGGTAGGATTGCGAATTGAGGTATTTGGAAGGAAGGAAGTGATTGCTTCGGCTTTGTTTTGATTTCAAGTCTATTCTACACTCCAATTTGGAGCGGGTAGTTGTCGCTTTTCTTGTCCTTGATTGGAGTTGAAGGTAGCTCCGTGGCTTCAATTAGCTTGGAAGAAGTATTTGATTTCGAGAGGAATTACGTCACGTTAGTTTCAGCATTTTTTATATTCGGGCCTCTGTTTCGTTTTGGGCGATATTCCCGCATCTCATCTACAATGGTTTCTGGGAATTTGTTTCACTGTAGAAAGAACTCATGGCCGCCCGACGAGTATATCAGCAAGTCGACTTTGCAGCTGGTAAGCTTATTGGTTTTATCTGATTTTGTGATAATATCATGAATATTTGTGAAACTCATGTATGATTTCATTTTTTTTCCGGTACAATTTATTTTTGACTCGATTTTTGGTTAAATAGCTACCGTAGAGAACATTTTTATTAGCAGACTGATCCGTGTCCTTTTTATGGAGCTATTTGTTCACATTGGATCTTCTTTTCTTTCAGTTTGATTTTGATAGTGCTGCACCACCTGAACAAGCCTGGAGAAGGAAATTAAATGGCCATGCGAATATTCTTAAAGAATTTAGTGTCACATTTATTGAAGCAATTAAAATGGTAAATGAGCCTTCTCGACATTTCTTGTTGCTGCGCGAGATCACATGTCTCGTTGATGAATGTGCGTGCAGCTTTTATAAGTTCATTATCTTCTTTTATGGTTCTTTATTTTGATCGGTGTGCAATCCTACTGCTGTAGGTTCGACTTGGCATTCGCTTGTGGTCCTACGTAAGGGAAGAGGCTTCTCATGGAAGGGTAATCTTCTGTAACTTAAAACAGCTTCTTTCAACATCCCTTCCAAACCAGTGTTAAATCTCTATACTAATTCTGTGTGTGCGAGTAACCCCTAGTTAAAGACTAAACTGAGAACAAAGTTTAATTTGTGCAGAAAGCACCTATTGATCCATTCACCCGAGAAAGTTGCAAACCTTCAGCATCTCAAGGGGTTCCACTTGGAGGAATGGGGTATGTACTGGATGTTCAGGCATGATACATGATAGTTCTCTGTCCAATGTTCAAATAATACATTCTTAATCTCTTGGGGATTTTCTAAAATGTAATGCAGAAGTGGCAGTATATCCAGAGGTTTTCGAGGCGAGTTCAGGCAATGGCAAATTGTTCCTGGTACATGTGAAGCCTCTCCTGTCATGGCCAATCAATTTTCTGTAAAGCCCTGTCCTCTGACTGTATTTTAGGATACAAATTACAATTGATTGTTTTGAGAACTTGAGAATGTCTGAATTTGTATTTAAGAAAATATCTAAAAAGAAATATAAGAACAGGAAAATTCCGATGTTTTCTTTCCCAAGTAACTTGTATTACACCCACGTATTTATTTTCAATGTGGTTATATGTTCTAAACCTTATGGTTATGCAGATATTTATTTCAAGAGATGGAGGAAGTAAAAAATATGCATCAGTTCTGGCTCCTGGTCAACATGAAGGCTTAGGGTGAGGCTATCAGCTAGTCCACTTCTGTAAAATGCTTCACTCTTAGCAGCTTTATTTATTAGCTGCACGCCAAGCTTTCAATGCACATCATGTTATGTTATATATGAAGACACTATTTATTCTTCCAGGATCTCTTTACATGAGTTAAAGAAGAGCTAACTGTAATTTACCTAGTTACCTACCAAGTAATCCCATGATGTATCTACAATAGTAGTCAAGAGTGAAACAAAAATACTAGTACATTTGGAGTCACTGTTTGGTCTTGAAATTCAGGAGCAATTTTTGGCCATAGGCTGTTGGTGTTATAGAGCTAGAAAAATCTTAAATTTTTTTATCTCTAAAATGATAAAAGCAAGATTGATGTTCTCATTCGGTTACTACTATCATTTACATCACAATGGGAAATTTTTGGACGTTGGCAAATCATGGAACCACTTGTTTCCAATTTTAGCCCATGTTTATTCTCTAATTAAAAATCGGGAAGATTCTGAACATTTTTCACTATTGTAGGAAAGCTGGGGACTCAGGAATATCATCGTGGGGATGGAATCTTGATGGTCAGCATTCCACATATCATGCTTTGTTCCCTAGGGCATGGACAGTATACGATGGTATCATTCTATTCTGGTATACATATGTTTCTGTGCTCTACCTGAATTATCACTGATATATGGCTCATTGCTTTCAGGTGAACCAGATCCAGAACTTAAAGTTTCTTGTAGGCAAATATCACCATTTGTACCACATAATTATAGAGATAGCAGTCTTCCCACTGCTGTTTTTGTATATACAGTATGTTTTTGATTAATAATCTCATGCAGTTCTTTTAACAAGTTATGCTTCTAGTTATAAATGAAAATAAGTTTAGTTCCTTGAGCTCAAAGGTGGCTAGGAACCTTTATTATGAGAAGGCAAACCCAATGTGAAATGTTGCAGTTAGATTGTTATCCTACAAGCTGGCAATTGGAATTTATATTGTTCTTAACACGATCCTTCTAATTAAATGCTGCATTTGTACATCGAATGTCTTAAAGATAACTGACGTTGATTTGATTGCTATAAATTATTTATGTTGGGTACTCTCTTTTCACGATCCTGCTAAAGCTGGTTATTGTAGTATAAATGGTTAACTGTAGTATTATAATTCTATCACTTTTAATTCTCTTTGTTACACTTAAATATGGAATTCTTTTGTTAGTTGTTCTATGTTGGATGAAATAGTTATTTAACAATTTATTTTTGTTTTTCTAGTTCTTTGATTTTAAAAGTAAGAAATGGTGCGCATTTTATGTTATATTTGTTGTGTTTTGTATGTTACTCGTTTAAATACTGCAGCATTCTGGTATTAAGCTTTACTTCTCAATTATGGTGGTCAATTTTTTGGACCGTTAGGCTTACTAAGTATTGATTTCTTCGCCTTAATATTTATTTATGTATTTATTTTTCAGTTGGTAAATACTGGACGTGAAAGGGCAAAAGTGAGCCTTCTTTTTACTTGGGCGGTAAGAGTTTTTCCTTATCCATAAAGCAGTGTGCTATTTCCTATGTTTCCTTAAATGACCCACCATTATCTTGTATCTGCAGAATTCAATAGGAGGAATCTCACATTTATCTGGCGATCATGTGAATGAGCCATTTATGTGAGTACATATTCCAATAATTTGTGATCCCTTTCTTCCCTGTATCTTGTCTAACGTCATATATTTGGATGCATTTTTCTTCGATAGAGGTGAAGATGGAGTAGCTGGAGTGCTTCTACATCACAAGCAAGTCACCAAACCTTATACTCTATTTTGCGGTTGGTTTGCAATATCTTGGTTCATTGATCCATGTATTTTAACACAGGCAAAGAATTGGTGGGGGGGTGCTAACGTCATTGTCATTGTAAGAAAAATGAGAGTTCTCCGAAGTACCTTTGAGAGTTGTTGTGATGTGCTATATTCGAACTAAAGTTTCTTGATCAATGGACTATACTGTATCAAGAAAATTCTGAAAAAAATTTCTAGAAGTTGGCTGATATAAATCAAGTAGGCATTCAGAGAACGTCAATGTTGTTCATAGATATTATATTGAAACCTATTTTTGACGATTTAAGACAACTTCACTTTGCACTATTATCTATAATGTTTGAAAAAAACCAAGAGTTTGTGCACTGACCTATTGTAGGAAGAATGCAATTTGTCCAATTCTGTTTCTTAAAACGTGAAACTTAAATGCTGCTTTTTGTTCCCTGTTGGTCTACATGTGGGTATAATAGGCCTAAAAAGATTTGTGCAATTCTTTCAGAACTGCAAAGGGGAATCCTCCAGTTACCTTTGCCATAGCTGCATGTGAGACGCAAAATGTTAGCGTTACAGTTTTGCCATCTTTTGGACTCTCTGAAGGAAGTTGCATCACAGCAAAGGACATGTGGGATAAAATGGTGCAGGTGAGAAACTTATTCTATTTGTAGTCTTGTGTGGTGATTAGAAACAGTCCGATGAGTTTTTGTTCCTAACTTTCTATTGACCATCTCATGACCCTTCTAAATAAATGTGTATTTCAAAACACCTTATATTGTTGAAAGGATGGGGAATTTGATCGTGATAACTTCAGCTCGGGACCAAGCATGCCTTCCTCACCTGGGGAGACACTTTGTGCTGCGGTTGCAGCCTCTGCATGGGTGGAACCTCATGGAAAATGCACTGTCGCATTTTCTCTGTCATGGTCATCTCCAAAAGTCAAGTTTTTGAAGGGATTCTCATATCATAGGTAGGTATTTTTGATAAGCCAAACTTTCATTAAGATGAATGAGGCTATACAAAAATAGAAGTCTATATTAGGTAGATATTAGGAAGATGCATATTTTCCTTCATTTTTATTTTCACAAGTATTTGGTCAATTACTGAATAGAACCTTTGTTTTTGGTTATGAATCATCAGGAAATATGTATGGCATGATCTGTCTGCTAATTTCATTGAACTCTTTTCACCATATTTATATCTCGTGTATATTCTCATTTCTGTAGTCTGGGGATAAGAATTTTTTTCTTATTAATGAAGGAAATGTGTTGCCATGACAAAATGCTGTATGGAATTATGTTTGGCCAATGTTGGACAATGTTAAGTCTCATCTTGCTGTATGTGTGTTTCAGGAGGTACACAAAGTTTTATGGTACTTCTGAAAAGGCTGCTCAAATTTTGGCACATGATGCACTTACAAGTTAGCATCTCTGACTTATATATTTTTTTATTGGATAATCATTTAGAACATTATTTTGCTCAGGACAACCAGTACATTGTTATTCTCTTGACATACGTGTAATTTTCATATTTAATGCTGCTGTGAATTTAATGAACCAAGCAGGATCGTTTAAAAATTTTTTATACCTAATATCCTTCTCAAATCATCAACAGATTATAAAAGATGGGAAGAGGAGATTGAGAAATGGCAGAGGCCTATCCTCATGGACGAAAGGCTACCTGAATGGTAATATTTATACCATTGTTAACTACTTTAGTCTCTTGTGGAGTTTGTTTCTTCTTGTCTGGTTGCTTAAGGGAGGAACTTCAATACAAACTCCCTCTAATTCATGCCTGTAAAATTTCTAGAATCTCAGTCATTATAGATATGGCAGGAATGATGTAAGGTTATTTTTGGAACGGGTGATGTTTGAAATTTTCTGCATTGATAAGAAAAAAAATGTCAGTCTTGTGGCTGATTAAAGATTGCTATCAATTTTTAGCTGGCTATTGTTTAGACCATGGAAAGTTATATTTCTCAATTGGGGTTCATAACAACATTCATGTTGAAGTAGCGATGTGCCCAAAAATTAATCAAGTATGGTTTAGTTTCTTCTTTTTCACCCACAAACAAGATAGAAACTCCAGAAATCAATTTAGAAACATGTATTATTTAGAATTCTGTCGATACATTATTGTCACTAATACTTTGGTCCAGTATTCCATAGTGGTGTAAGGGCACGAGCCACTTTTTGAACATGATCGATTGTTTAACCTTATGTGCGACATCTAATTTCTGCAGGTATAAGTTCACATTGTTTAACGAGCTTTATTTTCTGGTTGCTGGTGGCACAGTCTGGATTGGTACTCATCCGTATTAACTTTTGTATTTTGAAATATGTAACTACTTATCTTTCTTATGGCTATTATATAACAGTGTTACTTCTATGATATCTATAGATTCTCCCTTGGTGGATATACAAAAGCCAAATGATCAAGATGAACTAGCTGGAATGAAAAAGGATGATATAAAAGCAACAGAAGCTAAAGTTAGTGGTAAGGGAGAAGAAGTCTCCAAGACTACGACCACCACTACTCTTAACGGTTTTGCTGATATCGAATTTGATGGTGATGAAAATTCTACTTCTAGTTCCCATGTAAGTGAAGATGAGTCAATTGTTCCATTGAAAAGGGGCTATAACGACCACTCTTGTCAAAGATACAAAGTATTGGACCCGGAAAATCCTGAGGAAGATGTTGGTAGGTTTCTTTACTTGGAAGGAGTAGAGTATGTGATGTGGTGCACATATGACGTGCATTTTTATGCATCCTTTGCCCTTCTCGAGCTATTTCCCAAGATTGAACTCAATATTCAACGGGACTTTGCAAAAGCAGTCTTATCAGAGGATGGAAGAAAAGTAAAGTTTCTTGCTGACGGAAGATATGGAATCCGTAAAGTTAGGGGTGCTGTTCCACATGACCTCGGGACACATGATCCTTGGAATGAAATGAACGCTTACAACATCCATGATACGAGCAGGTGGAAGGATTTGAACACAAAGTTCGTGCTTCAGGTTTATAGAGATTTTGCTGCAACTCGTGACATGTCATTTGGAGTTGATGTTTGGCCTTCTGTTCGTGCTGCGATAGAATACCTCGAACAATTTGATAGAGATGGTGATGGTGTTATTGAGAACGATGGGTTTCCAGACCAGACCTATGATACTTGGACTGTTCATGGTATTAGTGCATACTGTGGTGGTTTGTGGGTTGCTGCTTTACAGGCAGCAGCAGCAATGGCCCATCAGCTGGGCGACCGAGATTTTGCTGAAACTTGCAAGGGCAAATATCTGAAAGCCAAATCCGTTTTGGTAGCGAAACTGTGGAATGGTTCTTATTTTAACTATGACAGTGGATCAAGTAGTAACAGTAAATCTATACAAGCTGATCAACTAGCAGGGCAATGGTATACAGCATCCTCTGGTTTGCCTCCTCTGTTTGATGACTTCAAAATCAGAAGTTCTCTGAAGAAAATCTACGACTACAACGTGATGAAAATTAGAGGAGGCAGGATGGGCGCTGTAAATGGAATGTATCCTAATGGAAAGGTGGATGAGACCTGCATGCAGTCTCGTGAAATATGGACTGGTGTTACCTATGCTGTTGCAGCTACGATGATCCTTTCTGGTATGGAGGAGGAAGCATTTAAAACTGCAGAGGGCATTTTCCTTGCTGGCTGGTCGGAAGAGGGATTTGGGTAAGTTAAAACTTCAAATCCTAACTAGTTTCTTTTTTTTTTATCTCTCTCGTCTCTCTTTTGACCAAATTCGTGGCACCTTAGATTGTTATCACTGTTCTCTTATGTTCCGCCTGGGCCCCCTCCCTCAACTACATACTATTCATTGAAAACTATACTTTTGAACTTGTAAAGAATTTTATTAAACGCCTGCTACTACACCTCAACACTTTGTAAACATACCTGAAGGAATCATATTAGATCAGTTCCATATGCAGTAGAAACTCATCTCATGCCCCCTCGAATTTTGAACTTTTTTGAACTCAATGAGGCATCTGGCAACTAATCACCTAATGTTTAGGTCTCGGGGGACGCCAAAGGGCTTTTAATTTTAAGCTTACGAACCAGAAGGGTTGAACTGGAGACACATTTGTCTATCAAGTTATACTAACATTTGATCAGTCACTGGTTTATATTTCTTCTAGATTCAAAGTTGTGCGCTTTCAGATCATGTGTGAAATCTTTTCAATTTCTGACTACGACATTCTAACATTTTCCCATCATAACATCATATCTTTCCATTATTCTTTCATCAAATTCCATTCATTTGACCTTATTTCCTTTTCTGCTGCTCACAGGTACTGGTTCCAGACCCCAGAGGCATGGACCACGGATGGGCACTTCAGATCCCTGATATATATGAGACCACTGGCTATCTGGAGCATGCAGTGGGCGCTATCCCTACCAAAGGCAATACTCGAGGCCCCGGAAGTCAACATAATGGACAGAATCCAAGTCTCCCCTGCCAACACAAGGTTCTTTCGCCACGAAACCGGTGTCAGAAGGATCGCCACAAAAGCTAAGTGTTTTGGTGATTCTGTTTTCAATTGTGCATGCTAGTGCCTATTTTTTTTTCATTAGTCCTTATAAAGTTGTCTTTGCTGAGCGATGTTCATGTGCTGCCTCAAACCTCTCCGGCAGTTGAAAAGTAAAATACTGAGGGTAGGTTTGGGGAAAGCATGATTGTAGAGTTGGGTAAGTCATGGTGGAGGTAATACATGGGGCGGGTCAAAGCCTGGATAAGCTTATTCTCTCGGCTGCTTCTTCCTTCTGTCTAGTAAAATGTTTATATAGAGAATCTCGTGCCATAATTTATTATTATTCATCTTTTTTTAATATTCCTGCAAGATTCTTGGTCTGAAATATTGGAACAGAAAATATTGCCATTGAGGCTCAGTTGTGTTGGCTGGGTTATCCAGTGCATTTAGATTCACATTTACGACTCGTAAAGAGAGTTCTGACGTCTGGTTTCACTATTTCGAGTCATGTTCTAGCTGGCACATCGTAACTATTAGGATTGATTTTATGGCTAATAAAGCTTTCTTAACGCCCCCAGTGGACAGTCCAGTTGACGAGGACTTGAGGTCTCTTGGTCATATTGGCTTAGAAGTCTTGAGTTCGAACCCTCTGGTAAGCTTAATACCAAAAATTCTTGATGTCTCCTAGGTCCGGACCTTGGGACAAGCGCGGGACAAGGTCTGGACCCGAGTATCCTTAGGTATAGAGGAGCAAAAGCTCCGACTCTCAGTTATAAAAAATGAAAAATAATAATAATGAATAATTCTTTCTTAACCTTCTCCATCATCCTCTACCTCTCTATAGACTTGGTGCTACAAATAGAACAAAATGTTGGGAATGAGAGAGGGAAAGAAAAACCTGGGAATTCCTTGTCTTTGGTGAAACAGAGCCCCCATTAGACAACAGTTGAGACCTCAATTTTGTGACCAAATCAAGTTATTCTCTGTGAGATACAGAAAATGGAAATCGGAGCCAAAAAAAGGATGATAATATTGGCATACTTTTTCCAATTTGCTATATATGTTTCTCCGATTAACCCTCCTGGCCCCAACTTATTTCACTTTTGTTTCTGAATTTGTTAGGTTGGTTCTGATGGTTTCAACTTTTGTTTATTTTGGTATATATGTTCTTAAAATTCTTATTTTGATCTTTATACTTTCAATTTCTATCTATTTTAATCCTTATACTTTTGAAACCGTTCTTGGACTTTTAAAAGTTTCTTCATTTTTTTTCTAATTTTTTCAATCACAGTTTTAACACGACAGTTCGCTGTATATTTTGAGATGTAGCCATAATAACTTCAAAGGATTATGTATAGAATTTGTGTTAAAATTTTGCAAACAAAGATTAAAATGGTCATTTTTTAAAAATAGAGGAACCAAAATGAATTATAGAGCAAAATGGTATTTTAATATTATATATAAATATATATTTCTTCGATAGATGAAAAAGCAAAGAATAGTATTTATAAGTTTATTTTTTAAAAAACAGAGAATCAAAGATAAAACAATTATCAAAGTAGGAGGTCGGTAGACATTTTATGAAAATTACAAATAAGCATATTCCACATTTTAAAGAAGTCCAACGATCAAAGGTAAAATTGAAAATTCCAAACCGTTGAATAGTAAAATTATTATCTTTTTGAAAGTAAAAGGCAAGAAAGTTACAGCCACAACAATGCAATTTTGCAGCGGGAAAAAAAGGCTGAAGCTTTTGGAAAAAGAGAGAAACAAGAATTAAAAGAATACATTTTTGCAGATTCTCATCTTTTTTACCGTACACTTTTCTTTACCCTGTTTTATGTCCCATCTTCGGCTACTAATTATATTCTTGCTTTCGTCACATTTTTCTCTTCTATCATTAATTCGGTCATATTATCTACTTGGGATGATTCCGTTCGGCAATAAATTTGAAGCACGGTTGGTAATGTTTTTCGTTTTAAGATTTTTGTTTTCAAAGACGGGTAATTACAAAAAAATACTCATATACTTTATTTCAAAAATATCCTTATCTTTTCAATAAACGTTTTAGAAATACATTTTGAGCAAACGTTTTCGTTGATAGGAAAGTTGGCGTGATAAAATCTTGAATGCACCATAATTAATATGGAAGGGAACCATTAGCTAGTATGGTACCGAGGTACCTCCAAGTATCTTATTGTAGATGCCTGATTCGGTATATTTCGTTTTGGTTTGATTTCATCCAAAATGTCTCAATTAGGATAATTGTCTATACCATAAATCACTTCCTTCCTTGGTGACTTTGTTTGCATTCTTTGGCACTTTAATAGTGTCGGCTATAACTGTCCCAAGCAAGTTTTCATGTTGATTGTCATGTTGTTTCAAATTGTATCGCGTCAACTTTTTCGTTCAATATATTAGACATCTTTAAAGGGTATTTTTAAAATGTTTACGAAAGGTCAATTGTAGTATTGAAACTTTTGGAAGAATAGGAGTATTTTTTAAATAAAGAGTATATTTTTGTAATTTAGCCTTGCACTTTGTACTCATTTTGACTGCAAAAATGTATTCTTTTAATTCTTGTTTTTCACTTCCTTCCTGAAGTAGGTAAAAAATGTTTGGACTTGTTAATAAAATTTTCAATCTCAATTAAAAACTATCTAACATAATTAGAATAGCAAAGAATCCATAAAAATAGTATAGTTCGGTAAAAAAACATGCTCAAAGCTACACTTTTCTTTTAATTCAATAGTTTTCCCTATGTCTCAATGTAATTAAAATTAACAGTCCGAATTGACATAGAGTATAAAACGAATAAAAAAACGGGTCTCTCAAAAAGTGTTCACTCGATCATTTTTAGAAAATTGGAGTATGATTCGTGTATTTCACAAATTTAACCCAACGAAACCTACATCTTATACGAGAGGTTATTAATACTTTACGAGTTTACGAGTTCATTTACAGTGACAACCTCAAAATGGTAAAAAATAATTAAGAGACAAAAAAGTGGTGATGTTTCCAATATGATCTTTATGAAGCTATTGAGTGCAAGAATGGTTGCAAGTTTGTCAAAAAGCTTCTCCTCCAAGCATGCCTTTGTATCTCATCTGGTCTATCCATAGCAAAAAATCTTTATATCACTATCATGTTTGATCACAATCTCTCTCCCTCTTTCTAACTTATTGTTTTTTTTCTCTCTTTTTTGTCCCCTTAATTATTGGTTTCCTATTACGTTTCGCTAAATTTGTCTCAATTATAAACGTTGAAATCAACTGCCTTACTCAAAGATTTCATATTGACATTCAACGGAAATTTTTTAAGTCAAGATATATTTTGTCTTCGTGAATTTAATTTGGACCTACTTGGATAATATCAACATTTGGAAGGTGTCAAATTTACTTGTCTCCTACTTGTGAGAGTGGAAACGGAAAATTTTATCTCAAAGCGTTTGATTTCTCAACTTGCAAACACAAATTAAATTCAACACTTTACATTTTTTTTTTAAATTCTTACCATCGTCCGATTTATCTACGGTTTTATTAACAAACTTTAGTCAATTTTATTATATTTACTTCTTGTAATAACTTGACAAAATGAGCATGGTTAGACGGTAATTGGCATATATCTCCAATTAAGAGACTGCGAGTTCCATTCCCCGCTTCCACATGTTGAATCAATTTAGGAATTTTATTTTTAATATTTGGATTCCTAAATTTCATAACCATATTCAAATTCAATATAAATAGAAAATTATTACAAATAAAAATAACCATATACATAGAAAGTAAAGTACTATTTAGAAAGGGAAAACAAGCTAACAATTTAGAAGTTTAAAGTCAATAAATCAACTATAGCTTTATAAATAGAAAAACTCTGAAAACTTTATTATGAATTATGATCAATGATCTAATTAAATAAATAATATTATTAATGCATATACTTTAAACTGTTGTGTTTACTTATCAAACCCACTTATCAATTGTAACTTGGACTTTTCATGTAACTGTTCATTATCATGCCAAGAAAAGGAGAAAAATCAACATTTTAATTTTCCACTTTTCTCCAAAATTAATCTCAACTTTTTTCATCATTAGCCGTCAAAGTGATTTCAGCCATGCACCAAAAAGTAAGTTAATTAAACTATCAATTTAATCCCTATAGTTTAACATTAATTTCACTCTATTGCTTATCATTCTAAAAGTTACCAATGCATTTATGCAAAATTAAAATAGTGGGGGGCTAAAATAGAATATATGAAAATTTTGATAAACATAAGCATTCGGTAATGGTTCATATTTCTCGTTTATCATTTTTAAGAAAATTTTTCAAAATTGTGCAAAAATTTTAGAATTTAACAAAATTAAGTTTATTGTTTTCTCTTGTTTTGTTTTTATCTTTCAAAACATGGATAAAAGCGATGTGCATAATAAATAAATGGCATAATATAAAAATTTTGAATATTTAATATTTAATATAATTTTTATCTTTTTTTTTATTTTAAAATTTTAAAGAACAAAAAATAAGACATGTTTCTATCTTTTATTTAATAAAAAAAGAAAAAAAAGTTACCTAAAGGTAATTGTATTTTTCTCTATTGAAAATGAGGAAATAATAAACAAGAACTTTATCAAGCATGTCGTTATGAACTAAAATATAATATAATAGATTTTTGAAAAGAAAAAGGGTGACTAGCAACAAAATCAACCTTAAATTATGTTGTATTTTTTATTTCATAATGAATGAGAAAGAAAAGAAAAAAAAATATTATTGTGATTAGAACTTTTTTTTAATAGAGAAGAAATGTTGCAAGAGGGAAATTAGGTGGGGACTCCATGCATGGGATCTTAGAGACAAAGCTTCTCCATTTCCACAACCTCATCAGAAATCCAAAAGCACTGATTGAGGATTTGATTGATGCTTGTGACTTTGCTTTTTATAGCTGTATTCTTACCTTTAATTCAAAAAGTTTATATCTTCAAATACCCAATTCCCACTTATTTATTTTTATCCTCGTCTTTCGAGTTTCAAATACTTTAAATTGTGGTCGATTTTAGTCTTGTCTGAGAGAGAAACTGCCACGTGATGACATTTGGTATGCCGTCTCCTAGAGAGTCATCGAAGAAAATAGTTAAGTCATGAAATAGAAATGTCATAATGACTAGCTTTCCTTTACTGACCAACGTACATAACTATTTACTTGACCGATATGTACGAAGGAGATAATTGAGGTAAAATCGATGGCAATGTCAAGAACATTAGCCCTCTTATATTGTATCAACAAATTTAGTTGATGTGCTAGTCGATGAATTAAATTGGTTATATTCAAATCACTTATCGATTTTTACAATTTTGTTGTTGAGCCTATTCCTCTAATACTATGTTGCATGAAGAGCTACATTTAAAATAATTTTTGTGTGATATTGCTTCAATTCATATGTTGCATCTACTAAGTTTCATTAG